CCGCTGTTCCCCTCAGCAGTGTATTTCGTCAGTCTGCCTGTTCTGTTCCCCACTCTGGCTCTGGTGAATTCTCTCACCCTCCCCTGCTTCTGACTGTACCCAGTGCTTGTATAAATAAACAAACAAACAAACAAACAAATAAATAAATAAATAAATAAATAAAAAGATGTTGCACATGAAAGAAAAAAAATAAAAAAATCATCATCATCATTCATTGTCAGGGAAATGCAAATCAAATCCACGATGAGATACTGCCTCACTCCTGTGAGACTGTTCTATATCAAAAACACCAAACACAACAGGTGCTTTCAAAATGTAGATAGAAAGGAACCTTTTTACACTGTTGATGGGAATGAAGACTGGTCTCGTCCCTGTATACAACAGCATGGAGGTTTTTCTAAAGATTAAAAATGAATCTACCACATGACTGATTAATTCTACTCCTAAGTGTTAACCCAAAAAGCACAAATATACTAATTAATTGCAGTACTGTTTACAATAGCCAAACTATAGAAACAACCTATGTCCTAAAAACAGATGAGTAGATCAAGAAGAGTTGGTACACACACAAACACACACACACACACACACACACACAGTGTGATCAAAAATGATAAACTTATCCCATATGTGCTTTGTGGCAACGTGGATGGAGCTGGAAAGTATTATGCTTAGTGAAATAAGTCAGGAGGAGAAACACAAACACCAGATGGTGTCCCTTATATGTGGAGTACAGTGAAATCAGACAAAGGGTCAGATAATGCAAAACTAAAATACTAATCTTTGAAAGCTGACCATAGAAATCAGTTATTTAGAGAGGGAAGTGTTGTACACAAAGTGGGGAGGGAATACAGTTGTGGTGGGGGTTCTCTGGTAACATCTCTGGAAAAGGGGTATCCGATACTTCCAAAATATAAACAAGATAAACCAGCATTACCTTAATTAAAAATGTGGGTGTCATACGAGAATTCTTCTTTCTCACCCACAATATCCCATTAGTCACCAAGTCCTGTTGATTCTACATCATTCATCATTTTAAGGACATGTCCCTTTACCTTTACCCCAACTTTCATTTCTCTTACTACTGGACCTTACAGATTGCATTCCCTACATCAGCAACATCATTTTTTCCTGCTTTTCTTCCACACTATTATTTTACCTCTATACTTCTCATCCTTTAGGTCAATGTGCAGTTGGTGTTCCAACTGGGAAACTATTTGACCTAGACATTTCTTAAGACCCATTTCAGATCTACTGAGTCAGAGACTCTGAGAGTTAATTCCAGCAATATGTAGTTTCTCAAGCCTTCCAGGTAGTTTTGAAACATGCTTAAGTTTAGTTCTGACTTAGATTAGGATTTAGTCTGTAATAAAGGAACAAGATCTTTGGCTGGGGTTAAAGATAAGTATATGGTTTGGGAAAGGCCACTCTCTAGCCATAATTAGGAACTCAGACTATAGCCAATGTTAACTTCAAAGGCCACAGTTATAAACTCAATCTGATTTCAAAGTTTAAGGCAATCTTAGGTAAAGAAATACTTCACATGTGATCAACGTTAATGATATCTTTGATTAAAAAAAAAAGAACTTGGGTCTCCTCTGGTGGCGCAGCGGTTGAGTGCAGGGCTGCGAAGCTGCCCACAGCCTCTGCAGCGCCGGTTTGATCCCTGGCAGCCTGTGAGGGTCCCACATGGTGCGAAAGATCTCACCTGCAGCGCCCGCTGCTCCCCTTAGCAGTGTATTTCTTTGTCAGCCTGGCTGTTCTGTTCCCCGCTCTGGCTCTGGTGAATTCTCTCACCCTCCTGTGCTTCTGACTGTACCCAGTGCTTGTATAAATAAATAAACAAATCTTTCAAAAAAAAAAAGAACTTATGGTAAGCAGTCTAGCAGTCTATTCTGGGATTGTGTATTTTTTATGGAGTCAAACTCAGGCTGTAGATTAGGTGTAGTTAATAGTTATGTTTACAGCCTTTGAAAGCAATTTTTACTGAAGGAATAAGTGAGAGGATTGAAGCAGAGATTCCATGCATCCTTTGCCTCTTTACTAAAAATTCCCACTCACCAGGTTCAGCGGCCTGTGGCCATCCAGTTCTAGATTCCAGCACTCCACTGGCATGCACAGAGTAGGGGCGGCTGGCATTATTCTTGAAAACCACAGTTAGGATATCACCAACCTCTCCTCTGAGAAGTGGACCTAATATATGCAAAAGAAGGAGCAGTCTTATTAATGGCATAGTAGAACAGGAAACATCAAAGGGATATACACAAGAGCTCCCTATGGTTAAGAATTTACCCTGAGAAAAGATCGCCCTATCACTAAGAGTCATGATGACCCCATTTTTTAAATTCAAAGATGTTAAATTGTTACTGCTTCCCACAGTATCAAGATACTTCAAATAGATTGTGTTTCTACCCCATCCCAAATTTCACTATATACTAGCCCAAGGTTGTAGGCACTGTAGACTAATTGATGGTAAGGAGTAAGAGTTTGGCAGAGTAGAGAATTGCTGGACTCTCTTCAAAGTCCAGTGAGTCCCTTTAGTGCAAGATGAACAGTCAGATTTGTTGGCCCTTATAAAAGAAACTGAACTAATAATTAAACTGAGATGCAAGAATACTACCATTTTCTACTTTTGGAGAGGGTTCCTAAATTTTCCTTACTTTAGCATTAAAATAAACCTGTCACCCAGAAATCCCTGGATATAGAGGCATGGAGAAACCTGGCTCAAGGTTGTAGCAGAATTTATAAACCACCCTCACTTTGATAGCTGTTTTCATGGTTAACTTATAAAATGAGACTGTATTTACAATATATCATAAGGAAATAATGACAATGGGGAATGTGGTATCCTTCCTGATATGACATAACCTCATAAAAGCAGTACAACCTTCTAATAGGAAAGTAGAATGACTTTACCTAAGATTCCCAAGTGTTCATCTACTCCAGCCCTTGGCTGAGGAATCCTGAATGTACCATCAGTGTATTCCCTGAATACAGCCTTCTTGTATCTGGAACCCAGGAGCCCATCCTTGTTGCTCAGGAAGATGTGACCATAACTAGAAGAATCCAAAAAGTGGTATCAGCACCTTGACATCAACTCCTTATTTTCAGATACCAGTGAAACAGGACCCACATACACAGCACAAACTACAGGACATGACTGGCTTTGTTGAGGCCCACTTTACTAAGCTGGGTTTGATGGCCAACCTCACACCTCAGTGGTTGGATTTGAGAACTGACCCCATTTACAACTTGCAGGCCAGCCCTGGACTATAGCAATGTCAGCCTGTGTTGAACTGGGACAGTCCCTAGGGCAGTCTGGTGGGCTACAACAACAGTAGCAGCCCCTGAATCCTGTGATTCCTGGTTAAGGGCTGCTCAGATGACCATCTGATCCTGCTGAAGCTGGCTCCAGCTGTAGCTCCCAAGCCCCCCATGGATATGAGCCTGCATAATCTCAATGTTTATCAGATCAGATCTGGATGCATGACTGACTGGGAGTTAAATTTTGAATATGGTGCCAGAATTGTAAGTGGGCCAATCAGGTTCAAGCTCCTACTAGGAAAATCAGGTTTGTACTCCACTGGTTCTATTAAAGGTTTTTGAGACCATTCAGGATGATCTGATTGGAGTTCAGTTCTCAGCACCAATAAAACAGTTGGAAGTGTAAACAAACCAATAAGACTTGAATGACAGGGATCCTGAAGAGGATATAAGCCAGAGCATTAGCCAGCTTGAGATCATTCATCAGACAGCTTCAGATCAGTGTCTTCAGGAATCCTGGAAAGATCTTGGTAGACAGATTTGTCAAGAAGATTTGTTGGGACAGAACCCTTTTCAGACTTTGACACTTCCATAAACCCTCTGGACCTTAACAGAGACCTTCTCAGAGACCTCCATAAAATTTTCAAGAGACCTGACTGCTGCACCTGCCTCTAGCCCTGCCTCTGACATCACCTACAGAGAAAACTGTTGACTTATGCTTGGTGTCTCTGAAAGATCTGTTTGTCATTGGCTTATGCCCACCATCAGAAATAGCTATCACACTAGTGCCAGTTCTCTGGTGCTATCACCTGCTGACCTATGACCAGAACTGTTGACTTGTATCTGGCCACCGTTGAGAGTTGACCACCACTTCTAATCCTCCAGCACTGCCTCTTGGTGTTGTTGCATCTGGCACTGTTAAGTTCAGCATGTTGTCATGTCCAGTTCAGCTTTTGGAGTGTTGCTGTTGGCCGCTGCAGTATCACCTAGGCAGTCTGAGATGTGACTGCCTCCAGCTAACACTGTGAGTTGAATCCACTGCTTACCATTGTGCCAATATGTCCAGTCTCTCATTGAAGGGACAATAACATCTTGCATGAACAGCCTTTGTTTGGACTACTGGACACTGCAGACACTATCTAGGGTAGATCAGCTGGCCATTTATTATCTTAGAAATGCTTCCCTCTTTTCCAATCTTCCCTTTGTTGATAAACTCCATTGTTGTGCACCCTGAGCCTGAGTAGTATCTTGCAATTGTGAGTACACAGGTGAGAACTCACAAACAGAAACCTATGCCCCAGCCCTGGTACTGTTTTATGCAAAGCTAAGTCAGACCCAACTTCATGTGACAGATAGAAAAAGGAACCTATTTCCTCTAATGTCAGATTGCCCACCATTTTTGCTACATAAATGCTATTAAATGTAGCAGGTTTCAATATTGTTCATATTTTCTTATCAATTATCATCCCTGTAGGAATGTGTAGTAAAATTTATAAGGGAATACCTCTGGGATAAGAATCAGAAGCCCTGGGCTTTAATGATATACTTAAATTGAATTAGTTTCACAAGAGGACAAAGCACTGGTGGTAGGTGGCAGAAGGATAGTAAATGTTTCAGCTGCTAGAGGGTTAAGGGATGTCGAGAGGTAAGGAGGAAATTGACTATTAAAGATTTCTCCTCATAAGATAATTTCCTATTTACAAATAGTTTTATTATTTATTGTTTAATTAATATTACTTACTTTATCATTTGACAGCCCCAATAGGCTGATGAGGTAAGTATGTACCAGAGTATGGGAACTTGTATTATTAAGTGCCTTGACTGTTCTATGCCTTTGCCTTAATTATTCTTTGTTTTGACTGTTCTGTGCGTCTAGTTTGTAGAAACAGGGAAAGTTAATAAAGAAATCTCCCAGGGCAAAAGTCCTGGTATGAGAATCCATACATGCTGAAAACAGCATGTGCAGAAACAGGGAAAGTTGATAAGAAATCTCCCAGGGCAAAAGTCCTGGTATGAGAATCCACACATGCTGAAAACAGCATGTGCAGAAACAGGGAGAGTTTAAGCAAGGGAACCTATCAAGGCAAAAGTCCTAGTGTGAGGGTCTACACATGCTGAAAACAGCATGTGCAGAAACAGCAATAGGTGTTATGGCTAGAGTAGCATAAACACTGACACTTTACTTGGCTTTCTCATTACCTCTCAATCTTGGCTGGTGCAGCTGGTTGCACATCCCCATACACTTGTGCATTCCCTGTTTGCCTGCTTGCTTCTTTGATCTTTTTACTTCCTGTCTGATTCTAAATAAAAACGAGATTGTCCTTGGAGCTGGGCTGCACTTTCTTGGTGCAGTCCTTCTACGCTTCTCATTGTTCTGGACATGGACTCTGAATAATCCATTTTCATCCCGCCGCTTCACGTCGTCATAACGAGACACCAGAGGATAAATCAGTGCGCCAAAGATAAACAAAGTTTAGAAAAGGGAAGTCACTTCTTCTCAGTCATAGATCAAGTTAGCAAAATGGTTGTAACTTCAACAACCTACCAGAAGGACAATAATTGGCAAAAAGTAGTGAAATCACCAGAAATAAACTGGAATGGAGAATGCTAAACTGTACCTCAGTTTCCATTATTGTTTTGGCTAAGCACATAGCTGCCAAGCCAGAGACTATACTTGCAAGAATTCCATACAGCTAGGTCTAGTCATATTAATAAGCTCAGGATAGTGAGGTATGAGAGAAAGTGATATATATATATATGTGTGTGTGTGTGTGTGTGTACATTTATATTTTTTTTTTCCAAGTCATTGTCTTACATACTATTTTGCCTGACCTGAACTGTTTTAACCTTTTTTGATAGTTGGGATGACAACAGGAATAGACATCACAGTTCTAGGGATAAAAGCAAGTGTTATGGACTGCTCATATTTGTACTATGATATGACGAAGAAATGAAATTCTTACTTATTTAAGTTACTCTACTTTAGGGTTTTTCTGCTCTTCAGCTTAACCTTAAGGATATTTTGTCAAGAGACAGTTAAATTGGGAGTTTTTGCTTCCTTGAGTAAGTCCTCTATACAATTTAAATGCCAGTATAGGTGCTTTTTTCTGTTTAAACAGAGAAAATGAATCAAATATTAAGAGCATGTGGATGTAGATAAGGGCTTTTATTCTGCTCAACAGGATTATAGAAGAAGTACTGAGTTCCAACGAATCTATGGTCTAGTCCTGCTCTAGATTTGTTGTTATCTTATTCAGTGACTTTAAGTGTTTTTTCAACTCAAAATTTCAGTATCACTTTCATTTGCAAAATGATCAAAAAACTCAAAGTGTGAACTATCCATTTCTAAACTTACCTGTTTTTCTCAGGCTGCTTGTGCCATTCCAGTTCCCAGTTTCTGTCTGGGCAATAGTCCCACTCCACTTCTTCTGCCATGATGTAGTAGATCCTTGCAGCCTGGTAATGTTCCCGAGGGGAGGCTTTGTGTCCAGGACACTGGGAAACATTATAGAGTGCCCTCATCCCTGCTTCTCTATGGCTGCCTGCCTGACAGTAAATCTCAAATGTCCCTGAATAAGAAAGAGAGAGCAATATTCAAATCAGAATACCATGTGTAGGTCCTGGGGAATTCCCTGCCTCTATCTAAAGCTTACTGCAGAGAGTGGACAGTTTCAGATAAGGTTTCTCTATGCATAGATAAAATATGCTTACAAGTTTATTGAGAATAATGAATACAAAGGTTAAGATTTCTGACTCTAAAGTTACACGAACTGAATTCTGGAGTCACACAAAGATTGCAACTGAAGAAGTTCCTTGCTTTGCTTCTGAGAGGAAAAATCTTACAGTTAACCAAAGGGACACTATACCAAAAGAGTCCCATGGCTTGGAAAAACTGAAGTCCCCATTGGATACTGGATAGCAACGCAGACTATAAAGGAAACATTGAGCAGGAGGTGGGAGGGACACCAGAAACTGTAGACTGGGGTGGGAGACACAGGTGTTAGGACTGTTGACTCAGTCAGAAGCCCAGAGGAGGGGAGAGTGGGAATCTTGTAGATGCATACATTCTTGAAAGAAGAGACACCCATATGGAAGAGCTGGGGGTTACCTCATACAGGCCTGTCCCTGAGAAGAAAAAGAATTAACTCTACTTGCATCACTCTTTTCCTAACCCACTAACAGTGCTCAGACTACTAAGTCTCACACATGGAACCTGAGAAAGAAGGGATATCAGCAGCACAAGTACAGCAAAACCAGGCAACAGCACTGCAGCAGCTGAACACTTTGAGACCTCCCTTATATTCTAGTGACTCAACAACTGAAAAAAAAAAGTTCTAAGTAGCTACAGAAGCTTGAAAAAAAGCAAAAAAAAAAATACATATAAAATCAAATAAAAACAAGCAACATGTACAATAAAAGTAAAATTAATTTGACTCTCTAAGTCATTGTAAAACATATTTTAAATATATAAAGGACTTAAAAATAGCAAAATATACAGACAAAAATATATAACATGTGGTAATTGAGACTTCAAGGGAATATAAAATTACAATGAGAGCACAACTCTCTTTAAACCAATCAAAATAGCATGGTATAGGATTATATCTCCCTACTAGATAGAGTTCAAATTTGCTATAATAAAGGAACTAAAAGAGATAAATGAAAACTCAGAAAAGAAAGTCAAAATGATACAAGACAATTCAGAAATGTTAAGCAAATAGATAAAAGAAAATTCAGAAAAATGAATGAGCTCACAAATTAAAATGAATGAAGGTAGAAATTAAATCTTTAAGTAGGAAAATAACAAAGACTCAGGATATAAAAGATACAATAAATTATATCAAGAAGTAGGAAAAAAGCTATGAAAGCAGAATAGACCAAATGAAGCTTTGAATCAGTAACCTTAAATATAGTAGTGCACAATGGAACCAGGTGGAGAAGAGAAAGAAATACTATGTAAAAATATGAAAAATTCAAAAACTATCTGACTCCATTGAAAAAGACAACATAATGATAATGGATATTCCAAAAAAGGGAGTCTAGAGAGGGCAACAGAAACCTTATTCTAAACAATACAAAATAACTTCTCAAATCTGAGAAAATGTATTATACAACTCCATGAAGTCTATAGTTAACTAAATTCTGTGACTGAAAGCAAGATCAAAGGAAGGGAAAATATAAAGAGTTCCAGACAAATAATATTGAAGAAAACTGGGGGGTTGAGGGGTGGGGAGGTAAATTATAAAAGAATTCCCCTCAGGCTTACATCAGATTTTTCACAGAAATTCTACAAAGAGAAAAAGGAATGACATATTTGGGCCTCCCCTGGTGGCGCAGCGGTTGAGCGCTGGGTTGTGAGGCTGCCCGCAGCCTCTGCAGCTCCAGTTCGATCCCCGGCCGCCAGGCGAGGGTCCCACAAAAAAAAAAAAAAAAAAAAAAAAGGAATGACATATTCAAAACACTGAAAGATAAAAACTGTCATCCACTGTTACTTCCTGCAAGACTCACTAATATGTGAGGGAGAAATAAAGACCTGCCAAGACAAACAAAAGCTGATGGAGCTTGCCAATTAACAAATCTCTCTTACAAAATAGCATGTATCAAATCTATCAAAAATTCAAAAATACTAATTCAAAGAGAAACTTGCATTCCCATGTTTATTGCAGCACTATTGTAATAGCCAAACTGTGAAAATAACAGAAGTGCCCCAAACAGATAAGTGGATCAAGAAGATTTGCTATACATACACAATGGAATACTACTCGGTGGTCAAAAAAGATAAACTCATGCCATTTATGGCAACATGGCTGTAGCTGGAGGGGACGGTACATGAAAGGATGGTACATGAAAGGAATAAGTGGAAGGAGAAAGTTACTGGATGGTATCACTTTTATGTGGACTATAAAGAAATTAAACTAAGGTTCAAATAAAGACAAACTTAAAAACTAATTCCTAAAGTGACTATGGAATTGAAGCACCCGCACAGGAAGGAGGTGGGGGAGGGGTGAAAACAAGGAGGGAAGGGAGCACAATGGACAATGGACTATGGTGGTGGATTGTGAACGACTTGGTGGTGGGTGCACTATGGTGGAGCTACATGAGGAGGAGTATGTTGTACTTCCAAAATGCAAACAATAATATAAGCCAATGTTACCTCAATTAAAAAAAAAAAGAGAGAGAATAGGGCCTCCCCGGTGGCGCAGCGGTTGAGCGCTGGGTTACGAAGCTGCCCGCAGCCTCTGCAGCCTCTGCAGCGCCGGTTCCATCCCCGGCTGCTCCCCGGCCACCGGAGGAGGGTCCCACATGGCCCGCAGACCTCTCCTGCCGCCCGCTGCTCCCCTCAGCAGTGTACTTCGGTCCTTCTGCCTGCTCTGTTCCCCGCTCTGGTTCTGGTGAATTTTCTCGCCCTCCCGTGCTTCTGACTGTACCCAGTGCTTGTATAAATAAATAAATAAATCTTAAAAAAAAAAAAAAGAATAAAAGGTAGAAAAGTAGAAAATCCCTAAAAATTGAACAAGAAATAGACACTCAGACAGTGTAAATTCAGTCAGAGCTTTTAATCTATGTTGTTCTTAAAAAAAATTGTGGGCCTCCCTGGTGGCACAGCAGGTTGAGGACAGCGCTGTGAACTTGCCCGCAGCCTCTGCAGTACGTGTTCGATTCCCAGCTGGCTAGGGAGAAACCCACATGGTGGGACAGACCTATCCTGTCCCTCCTGCTGCTCCCCTCAGCAGTGTATTTCAGTCAATCTGCCTGTTCTGCTCCCTGATCTGTCTCTGGTGAATTCTCTCACCCTCCCCTGCCTCTGGCCTATGCCCCAGTTCTGGTATAAAAAAAAAATAAATCTTTAAAAAATATTACATTTTATAAAAACTGATAATAATCACATCAAAACAGAAACAAAATGGAAGTGTCAAATCCTAATACATCAATAATCACCATAAATTTAAATGAACTTAATTTACCAATCAAAAAGCACAAAGTGGTTTGCTGGATGATAAAATAGCTCCACCATTCTGCTGTCTCCAGGAGACCCTCTGAGTTCTAAAGATAAATGTAGGCTCAAAGCAGAAAGTTAGAAAAAAAATCCAGTAAATAAATAGTACCTCAAAAAAAGAAAGGGCCATACACACATGTTGATGAAATAGATTTCAAACTAAGACAGGTAACAAGAGATAAGGATGAATATCATATAATAACTAAGGGAAGACATAACACTCATCATTTGAAGGAGAATCAAAATATGTAAAGCAGCTATTGAAAAACCTGAGCAGACATTGATGGGATCATAAAAAATAATAGACGATTTCAACACACCATTTACATCATTGGAGAAATTAACCAGTCAACAAAACAAGTAAACAATAGTCTTCAATGAGGGTTTAGAACAGATGGACTTGATAGTTATAGGACACTGCACACCAAAAACTCTGAGTACACACACTTCTCAAGTGCACATAGTCATTTTAAAGGATAGAGCACATGCTGGGTCACAAAATTAAGTGAATGCATTCATGAAGACCGAAATCATATTGAAACAGGAGCCCTGCCACCCTGGCGAGAACGTTGGGGCATGAATGGCTTTGCTGAGGCTTGCCTCAGTAAAATGGGTTTGACAACAGACCCCAGTATGAATTGTGGAGAGAGAGGCCAATGGTTCCTAGTTTGGGTCTGCTCAGAGGAACATCCCAACTCTGCAGAGAAACTTGAGCTCAGCATACAATCCGCAAGGGGTCCCAAGGACAGTTATGTGGGCTCCATCAATGACAGAAGTGGTACTTTGCCAGCTTAATCTTGGCAGTAGCCAGAATCTCTAAGAGCTATAATATTGGGACCTTTTTTCTGGTATCATATCCTGCTGACTGGTGCTGACAGGCACTGCTGACCTGTATCCAGTACTGCTGACTGGATCTTGCCACTTCTGAGAGCTGGCCAAAACTTCTTGTCTTCCAGCACTGCCTCCAGTTGGTGTTGCATCTGTCACTGTCTGGACTGGCATCTGTTGTTGTCCATCCTGGCCTTCAGACTGCTGCTGTTGGCTACTGCAGTTTCACTTCTGGAGCCCGACCTGTGATCACTTCCAGCTGCCAACCTGAGTGCTTACCAGTGTGCCACCAGCTCCAGGCCCTTGTCAGAGGGACAGTGTCATCTTTCATGAGCAGCCTTTGTTTTGCACTACTGGATAGTGCATACACAATCTGGGGTAGGACAGCTAGCCTTTTGTCACAATAGAAACACTTTCCTTTTCACAATCTCCCCTGTTAATAAACTCCATTGTTGTTTCACACTGAGCCTGAGTAGTGTATTGCTATTGTGAGTGCATGCATGAGAACTCTCAGTGACCTGTCCCCTACCTTGGCACTGTTTTAATATCAGGTATCTTCTCTGATCACAAAGCTAACAAACTAGAAGTAAACCAGAAAAAGAAGAGAAAAAAGTCAAATGTGTGGAGACTAAACGACATGCTACCGAATGACTATTGGATTATTGTGGAAATAAAAGGAGAATTTGAAAAACAAAACAAAACAAAACAAAAAAACTGGAGGCAAAAGAAATGAAAGCATGATTG